GGCAGATTGTCACACGGTCTGGCAGCCTCTCTCCTCTCAGTCCTCTCTGCCATCTTCAGGTTGGGTCGCATCTGCCCCATCGGCCTCCACCATCATCCCTCTCTATTCTGCCATATGACGCCATCAAACAACGGTTTCATCTCAGGCACTATAGTTTTCAATTCTAAACTCTTGTTATATTTCTTCTTTAGACTTAGTTCTATTTTTCTGGTCTTTTCACTCATAAGTCTATTCTCTACTCACTGATGAAAGTTACAACATTATTTTATAATCTTCACTTTTTCACTCCAACATTTCAGGTCACCCCAGGTTGGTCTCTAATTCTTGATTCTTGAGAATGGGCCAAATCCCTCCAATCTTTACATACCACAGAACTCTGAACTGCATCCTGGACATTACCACCTAGCTCACAGAGACTCTAGATTCTGTTATAGTCCTCTAAACGCTTTAGGGAAACACTAGCATATTGGTTTCGGCAAGTAATTCACTTTGCTGGAGTGCAAACGCAAACTCCGTCTTGAGTGATGACAGCTAGGCCAGCATTTTCGTTAGCTGCCACTGCACTGCTCGGGGCGGCGGGGCTGCAGTTTGGAAACCCAACCTTGTTTGAAGTGTAGAGAGCCCTTACATAACCATGGTTGTGAACAAAGGACACTAGCAGCAGAAGAAATGGCCAGCAGAGTAAGAGAGGGGTCAGCTAGCTGTACTGCAAAAATGAAACACGCAACTGTCAGTCACGAAGTGGGTCAGCTGGGCGTGGTGGTCCACACTTTTACATTCAGGAGGCAGAGGCAGGCTGATTCTATGACTCAAGGCTAGCCTGGTCTACATAGTGAATTCTAGCCCAGCTAGGGCTATATGATTAAGATCATGTCTCAAAAATAATGACTGAACAGACAATTCTCAAAAAAAAAAAAAAAAAAAAAAGAAGGCAAGAAATTTAAGTGGTCAATGAATATTTAAAAAAGCATTTAACATCAAGGAAATGCAAATCAAAACTACTTTGAGATTCTGCTTCACCCCAGTCAGAATAGCTGTTGTCAAGGAAACAAATGACAGTGGATGCTGAGGAGGGTGTGAGCAAAGAGGAACTTCACTCCCTGCTGGTGGGAGCATAACCTGTACAGCCATTGTACGCATAAGTCTGAAGAGTTCTCACAGACTTCACACGACCCCGCTATAACACTCCTGGGTCAGTGACCAGGAGACTAGATCCTACTGCACACACCTGCACATCCATGTTTACTGTTGTTCTATCAACTAGCAAGGAAATGGAAGCAGTCTATCAACAGATAAGAGGATAATGAAAATGTGGTATGCATGTACAATGAAACTGTATTCCACCATAATGAAAAGTATGAAATTTTCAGCAAATGGAAGGATCTGGAAATTATATTAACCTAAGAAACCCAGACACAGAAAGACAAATCCTGCAGGTTCTCTCTCATATGTGGATCCCAGCTTTCAGTGTTCCTGTGCATTGACATATGCAGGCTCGGGCTGTGGAACTAGGGACTACCAGAAGAAAGAGGTACTGAGGAACACAGGTACCGTCAAAGTAGAAAGGGGCTGCTGAGGGTGAAGGGAAGAGGGTGAACAAAAATAAATGAAGCTTGAAACATAATTCTTTGTATGCTAATTCAAAATAAGTAATTTAACAATGTACTATAGGTTAGTATGTCTACCCATGATATATTAATCAACAGCTTCCACTGACTGGGAAAAACCTACAACTGCTCTGTGATCTACAAAATGTTGAATCCACTGGCTCAGCTGAGTTGAACAATTCTATAACCTTGAGTGGCTACATACCAGACCATTAGGTCACTGAGAAACTGCTCCAAGATCCAGCTGGAAATGTCCACGCACAGGCGCTTGTAGTCTTTCTCACACAGCCAAGGTTCGGGAGAAATACCCCAGGTGAGATCACTTTGACCATGAAGTGCTCCTGCACACTCAAATGTGCCGCTTACTGCCTTCTAAAACCCTAACTTGTACTAGAAAACTCTTTCTGAACGATGTAGACGAACTCAAGGCATTTATTCCTGCAGTAAGAGACAGACAATCCCAGAGAAAACAGCAGCCGTGCAGCTGGCCAACAGCATGAACCCATCGAAGGGGTGGCTGCAGCTAGCCTCTCCTCGGCTCTCCCAAGGGTCCTGCCAGCTAGCCTCTCCCTCAGCTCTCCCAAAGGTCCTTCCCCCTCCTAGCGGTGGCTTCCTGTGAAGCTCCTTCCACCGTGAAGATGGCTGACCTGTGTAATCAACAGGATTTAACGTGTGACTCTGAGCTGGGACATAATAGTTAGTTCATGCTCTCAGTGTCAAGCATCCTCTCTCTGGGTATTTACTATTTGTACTGTTATTTTTGCCAGAATAAGCATTCAAATCCTTTGTTTAAATCAGGACTTTAAATCAGGACTTCGAGCACAGTCCTGACATGCTTGTTAGTGCCCAGTATTTGAAAAACAAATATACAATGAGTAGGGGTTAACTTTGTTCACATCCCTATAAATATCATGAATAATAATTTCATGAGACTTCAGAAACTTAAGTGAATAATTTTTATTTGTACTTCATGGCTTTCTGTATATTTCATATTCCATTCTCTAGTCTTCCCCAGAGTTTATTTTTATGTGTGTGTATGTTTGTGTGCAATATAAGCAAAATACTATCAACAAAATATCTAAAGTAGTGTTTCTACATACATATAGACATGTATTCTAGACCAGATTTTAACATTATGCCCTACGGGTCCCTAAAGCTGTGTTCACTCTACTGCTGGAGCTTGGATTTCCTGGATCCCTGAGCTGAGCAGGGCTGTTGTGCTTTTATACCTGGGGCTACAGGACAGTTGGAAGCAACATGTGTAAGAGCGAGGCCAAGGGAATGGAGCCCGGGTGTCAGTTTGTACATCATCCTGTCCAAGTCCCTTCCACAGTTTTCCACGATCCCCAGCTGTGCCTAAGGGCCATGAGGGCTGACATGCAGCGTCCCTTTGCTCATCATGGTATTTGCTTTGCAGTGACCAAACAGGGAAATTGCTCCCTAAACACCCAACAAATGAACGCTCCCTTGCTAGACCCCAGGCACACCCTTTCTTTCGGTCAGGGCTGCCTGTGTTTTTCCTCTCTCTGCTATAGAAAGGCGGGAAGCACCCGGGCTCTGGCTGGGCACGGGGGCCTTGGTTTTTTATTTATTTTATAGGCAGAAGAGGGAAAGGGAAAAGTGGGACCTCTCTTCAGCACTCCCTAGAATTTTGAAAATGTTTTGTCATTTAAATACTACATAAAGAAGTATCATTTTTACGCATAAATTAGGCTAAATGACCTAAAAAGGATAAATGGCTTAGGAATCTAAAGACCAGAACACTCAAAGTTTTGGGTTAAAGAAACAGACTGAAAAAGGAGCATAGTCTGTTTGTAAGTTGGACTGCACAGACCCCAAGATGAATACTATAAAACTGGGCGTTACATATTTCCTATTAATAATTTTATTTTTCTGTATTACTCTCAATGAGATAAGCTCATAACAATATGAAGAAACCATAGACTATTAATTAATACTTGGTTTGCTTTTTTCCCCGACTATTTTCACAAAGGTTTGGCATTCTTCTAAAATCCACTACCATTGCTGTCAGTACAAACTTAAAAATGAAAAACTTTCTCTTCTGAGCGCAAAGAGAACATCCTGGCAGTCAGAAGCGCTGAACAACAGCCATCCCTTCATCGTGGCAGAGACAGAATTGATCTTTCAGTGCAGCCCGAGTCAGTGTGAGAGCTGCTGACATCTTTTCATGTGTATCACTATGACCAAGGCCATTCTGAGTCAGTGTGTGAGCTTGCTGACATATTTTCGTGTATATTACTATGACCAAGGCCATTCTGCTCATCTGCGGAAGAATCAGGCTAGAGTAAAACCCTTTAAGAATTCACTAAGAAGACTATGTAGTGTCACATCTGTGACAAAGCCAGCTGCAGCAAAGCCACTCAGCTCAACCTCGTAACACAATCTATTGTTCCTGCTTCAAGGCGGCGGTTTTGGATTTCATCAGCCTCGACGGGCTGAGTTCGTTTAGGGCTTCCCACGATAACAAATGTGGCCTCTTCCTAAGGGAGAGGCCCAGTTCCTAGGATGGCTCTCTCTGGAGCAATCAGCACTTACTACCCATTCCCTGGAGCCAGGCCAGCACAGAAGCAGCTGTCCTCTATGTTCAGTACTGCCGCCTGCCTTCCCGCTGAGCTACATGGGGCGTGAGTCAGGCTATGCAGCTTGTTGGGAGTGAGGAGTCAAATGTGTCATTACGTTATCTCAAAGGTGTGCCTTTGCTGCTGAAGTGGAGAAAGTAAACCAGGAGTCCTTCGTCTCCCACCACCTGGAACCACTTCATGTCAGGTGCCTGCGCCGTCCTGCTAAAGGGAAGGCAAAGGCCACCCTCCTAAAAGCCCGTGAGAAGGGCATTATTGTTGCTCTGACTGAAACATCTGCTTGGTCGCTGGACTCATGACTTGTAAGAAGGGACTATGTCTGCTGCTGAATTCTAAATACTTAAAATTGGCAAAATCTTAGATAAAAGGCAGTTAATATAGCAAATTGTCTTTGCAGTCATGTTCCAAGGGAAAAAAAATCTTTTAACATAATGCCAATTCTTCTGCTTTCTAGAGTTTATCATGGTATGTGTGGCAACATAGACGTACATGAAATTTTCATGCTCTAGGCTTATATACATACAATTTTATTCGTCAATGAAGACAAAGGTGGAGCTATTTTGATAGTAAAAAAGAAACGCAGATTGCCTCTTTTTTCTTTACCCTGCAAAGTAATAACTTACTGCACCACAGCCTATTAGCTGAACGCAACGTCAATATTCTCAACTGCTTGCCTAATATTCTTAGTTCATGAAGGTATTTGGTTTAGCATATGAAGGCCAAAGATAAAATTAAGCAGACCCATGAAAACCAGTTCATCTATTTTCAGTCCCCACTGAAGAAGGTGTCTTACCCACTGCAGCCGATGACCTTGTTGTAGAGATAAGACGGCAGGCCTTTCAGGTGGATGTTGTTGTCCACATACACGTACTGCAGTTCTCGAGAGCGACCTAAATCTGGGTCAGAGAGAACAGTGCTGTAATTCCTTCAGGGAGGCACCGTGCAATATACAATCATAAAAAAGACCCAAATTTCTCTTTTGGAAGAAAAAAAATGAATGTTTAGTTCTGAGTGTAAACTTATGGCAGTTGTAATATTGGCTTTTGTGTCAGAAAACATGGTATAGAAAACTTACTTAATCTAGACCTCATCTAAACTTACTTAATCTAGACTTTGATATTTATACTGGAAGATGAAATTATCAAGAGTAGAAAGTTTGATTTCTTCTCACATTTTGACATTTTCAATTGTCTGTTATAGGGCCTTGTTTTCCCTTTTTTCATTCACAGAAAACATTATGCACAGTAAGGTGATAGGTCAGGCTCACAAAACTGACTGTGCCCTCCCCTCCAAAACCCTGGGTTTTACTTTTATTTTATGTGTATGTGTATGTTCCAGAGTGCATGTCTCGGTACTCCATGTGCAGTGACCGCAGAGGCCAGGAGAGGGCATTGGATCCACTAGCCCTGGAGTTGTGATGCTCGTGGGTCACGGTGTGGGTGCTGAGAATGGACATGCACCCTCTGAAACAGCACTGATGCCGCTTTAACCACTGAGCCATCCTCTCTAGCCCCACTCCTTCGTGTGTGAGTGTTTCTGCAGGTCAGAGACTGATGCCGGATGCCTTCCGGGTCTCTCACTGAACCTAGCACCCACCAAGTTGGCTGCACTGGCTAGCCGGTGAGCTCCAGAGAGCCTCTAGTCTGCCCCCCACCCCTCCAGCACTCAGACGGTAGGCTTGCTTACACCACCATGCCTTGCTTTCTGTTGAGTGCCGGGAATCTGCAGTCAGCTCCTCAGGTTTGTCCAGCAAGCCTTTTACCTCCCAAGTCATTGCCCCAGCCCTCCTCCTGCCCTTCGATGGAGATGCTTTGCTCGGCTGAACTTCAGTCAAACTCCTGAACCTTCTGTCACATCCCTCCCTCTGTACTTCCTTGTTAAATGTAGTTGTAACGGAGAGCCCTGCTAAGTCAGCTCAGCAAGAGCTATCCCTCCATGTCTGGTCATCCTCAAGCTCCTCGTCCTCCCTCATCTCCCAGGGGATTCTGATGAAGACACTGTTAGGTCGGTATCTCTTTTACCTCCTTAGTTTCCCATCCACTGACGGGATGGTACTTGACTGTCAATTTCAATGTGCCCTCACTGTATGTGGAGCTGTCCTGATCTCTCTTCTACGAAAAAACCCACAGCAGAGGCTCCTGTACCCATCCCATGGTCTAATGTGCTCTAAAGGTGTCACCGAATACGTGTTCTCTTTAAACATTACACACATCAAGATTCCCCATGGTTCATCTTCCCCGGGATGAAAGACTAGAGGGAGGTGTTGAGGGGTGGGCAGCAGAGGGTAGCTAGGGATCAGGTAACAGCCTGCCTGGAGACTTAGAAGCCAGGCAGACATGGGAATATGTAACTCTCCTGCAGCTGCTGGATGAGGAAGAAGTGAGACACAGCCCAATCTCTAATCCACAGAGGTGAGAAAGCGGAGCTGAGACCTGGGGATCTGGAATTAGGGGCCGGGATGTAGGCCCTTTTTTTCATGTCACTACAGTGAAAAGGCCAGGGAGAGGCAGGAGCCACGTGTCCCTCGAGGCAGCAAGGCAATGGAGACAGGAAATGAGGGAAGGGCTCCAACTGGGGAAATGAGGAAGATCCATGGGAGTCTACTCTGAAGAAACACTTTCAGGCCCCAGGGCAGGTCCTCCATGACTCTGGCATTGAGATTATACAAACATCCTATTTTTTCTTAAAATCTCCCACGAAATTTTGCTCAATAATTTAAGCATTGCCAATAATTTTACCATGGGTCTTGTTTGGAAACATCATATAGTTATGAATGTAATGGCAATTTTTTTATCGTCATTTTTCTGGCCACATTTACTAACTGGAATTCTTCTGTAAGGAAGAGCTATCCTTTGAAAATATTTTTATACTAGTAGAGAATCACAGACCTCTCTATTGTGAAGTCTAAAAATCCGATACCATCATTATTTTGTCCTGTTACACAAACGCTTCAGTCTTGGCAATTAGGGACGAACGTGGGCTTGCTCTTAAGTTCTTTTAACACGTCCTCATTCTCTTTTGACCATTTCAAGACATTCTGGTAGTATACTTCTGGCCTGCCTCACAATTTCTCCACCAAAGCTCCGAAATTAACCCCTTCTCCAACTTCCTCTTCTTGGAGAAACCCTATCAACGAACTAGGTGTGTCTATTACTACTGAAGCATCAGCGCCCGAAGATCTTGGGGCCTGGGAAATATGCATGTACACCGACCCTCACAGATATGCATCCCAGGTGCTAGACATGTCTCCAGCACAAGCTCCAAGGAGTGAGCCTGCTGGTCAGATTCTCTAGTACTGCCAATATTTCCTTCTGAGAGTACGCCAGCCTCAAGTCCCTAGCACTGGGAGAGAGCATCCTCTCACCCACAGGAAGCAATTCATATCACAGTTTAAAAGTTTTGCTAATTAGGGCTAAGAAACAGAATCTCAGCATTGTTTACATTGTAATTTTCTAATTGAGTGTAAGCAGCACCCCTCCCCGCGCCAATATTTATCAGGCTCTTGGAATTTTTTGTCTTTTTTTTAAGGCAAAGCTTCATGTCTCTGTTACACATTACAAAGATTTTCTTTCAGTTTGTCAGTTGTTATTTGACTTTGTTGATAGGGTTTTCTGGTACACAAAAAAACTGCAAAACAATCCCCTCCCCCTGTATTAGGGACGCTAAGGCAGGAGTGTGTGAGTTTGAGTCCAGACTGAACTACACAGTGATGTCAAGACCTGCTTGAACCTCTAGCAAGAGAATGTCCCAATAAAACAAATGCCAAAAATCAAAATATTGAAAGTTTTAAATGCAAATTCAGCAGACTTCTCCTGCCTCTGGCCTTAGGGGCAGCTAGCCGGCCTCCTTGTGATGCGCAGGGCTGGAGCACAGTCCATCTGCTTCCATTCAGCACTTGTGGGCTTTTCTTTTCCATCCCTCCCTCCCCTCTTCGTCTTCCCCTTTCTGCTTATATTTGCAGCCATAATTCAGTTGGAATCTATTCTTATGTTTAGCATAAAACACTTTAGCATTAAACATTTATGTTTAGCTAGTAATTTAGTTTTCCATTTCTCAACGCATTTTGCTTACCTTTCCACCAGAAAGCAAAGAGAAAGATCTCTAGGATGGCTTAGTGGGCAAAGGTGCTTGCTGCCCAGTCTGATGACCGGAGTGCCATCCTCAGGACCCACACAGTAGGAGAGAACCAACTCCTGCTAGCTGTTTTCTGACCTCCACACATGCATCATGACTCATGCACACAGCACACTGCACATGAACAACAATAATAAATCACTAAGATTATCAAAAGGAAAAACATCACTAAGTACTCAATTCCAGACTCTAACTGCTGCTAAATCAAGCTCCAAACAAGTAAAAAGCACACTGAGAGAGCAAGTCGAGTGGCTGTGACATCAGCACCCATGGTACCAGGCGGTACATATGCCAAAGGGCACAACACTGCTGGTCCTTGGGCTTTACCCGGGATAAGGCTCATCCGAAAAGAATCTCGAGTTTAAATCATTATAAATCATTATGCAGCGTACTTTCAAAGTATTAAAGTATGTAATGTACCAAAAGATTGAAAACTGCTCTCTTAGTGAAACAAAAAATTTTACACTTACAAAAACAGGTGAGAAAAATATCAACTGATGGTACCATATTCCATTAACAACAGAAAAGGCCTCAGAATTCCACTAAAAATATCCATTTCCTCACAATTCCTCTGACAAAGATTTTTAAACACAAACAGAAATTTACAGAGTTTAAAGACAGAGAAAACTTTTAAAGTAAAAACTTCATTTACATATTACGGATAGGCTGCTCATGGTGGGGCACATCTTTAATCCCAGCACTTGGGAGGTAGAGGTAGGCAGATCTCTATGAGTTCAAGGCCAGCCTGGTCTATATAGCAAGTTCCAGGCCAGCCAAGGCTATGTAGTGAGACTATCTCAAAAACAAAACAAAACAAAATCAAAATTATAAACGGTCTCTAATCTCAGATTTGCCTTTTGGAGCCCTGGGGCAGGGCAGGGCATTCGAGGAAAGCCAAGTGAAGATTCTTGGCTTGGGCTCGAGCAGCAGTAAGGCCTGGAGCACACTAAGTTAGGAAATGCAGGGTCCGAGTCAGCCAGCCTGGGTTGAATCTTCATCCTTCTACTAGAGATGTAGACTTGGGATCTCATCTGTATAATAGGGAAAAGAAAACTGTCTCCTAAGTGTGGTAAGAATGACTAGGTTTAAAAACGATCAAGCAGGGTTCTTGCTACAGAACCTTCTCTAGTGTATGACAGTTATTATTCTCATTATTATTGGTAAGTGACACACTGGGAAGTGTGGCCAATTAAGAGAGAACTTTCTTTGGTATGTGGCAAGGGTACTAACCCTTTTCTATACTTTAATTGCATAGAAAGAGGTGGAGGCTATGGCCTCTGGAGATGATGATTCATCCCTTCAGGCCAAGGACACCCAATAGGACATGACAGAAGAGGTACCTCTCTGCTCTAATACACCACAGAAGCTCCTGTGCAAATTAAATGAGGTGACGTGCAGAGATCACACCACCAAGTTAAACCCACACCGACACTTGCTACTTCTTAAGGAGTTTAGCCTTCTCTCCTCTCTCTGTTTTATGGGAGAAAGACAACTAGTTAATGATTTTAAAATACTGTTTGGCTTACAGTTTATCTTAGGGAGAATCTGGCCAGCACTTCCTGAGCACTTCGTAATTTATTATATATGCCCCTAACAGTATGCACTAGTTTGCACTATAGCTGAATCAAAACTAGTATCGACTGTGTTAAAAAATCTATTACATATTAATGCTTCTTAATATTTCCAAGTATCGCAATCTGGGGTGGGGAGGAGGGAAGGAAGAGAGAGCGAGGGAGAGAGAGAGAAAGGGAGGAGGGAGGGA